ACGGCCGTCGGCCAAAGTCCTACATAGCCAACGGCTGATACAGGACTATAATGGAATAATAATAATAATAATAATGTCAAAAAGAGAGGCCAGGCACTATTGTTCAAGAGGATAAAGCCCCTTCTCATACCCATCACGCCCAGGATCTCCTATATTCAAGAGAGGGAGTAGAGAAACTCCTCTAGTATAGTAACTCCCCTGATTTGAATGCAATTAAGCCTGCTTAGATGTGGATAAAGAGAAGAAGCACTAAGAAAGGAGCTCCTAAGAATAAAATAGAAGCAACAAAGTCATGGTATCAGGTTTGGGATGAGCTACCTCAACACCAAATCCAAGCTTAGATAGAGCGGATACCAGTACACATTAAACAGATTATTGAGTTGGATGGTGGTAACGAATATCAAGAAGGTAGACGGTATTACAAGCAGAGGGATCTTCCATAGTTCGGCTGTATTCGGCTGTATTTCGGTAGAAATCGAGAATCCCTGTCTATCCGCAGGCGCACTAACGTTTGAAAGCCTCCTCCGTACGTTTACTAAATGATGCAATACATTGAGTTGCATACGTTAAGCCGCCCAAAGTCCGGCCGAGTGCTCACCGCATCGCCCCACTTATTAAACTTCAAGACCCATCAGTACTTGCTACGGAGTATGGGATGGATATGTCAGCTAGAGGTTCCTACATACAAGTATGTTTCGTCCGGGTTCTGCCTTTTTCCTCGTTTACATACTCAAAGGTGCTCTTGTTGACCAAATGAATCAGCCTCGCACTAAATTGACCCGGCGGAGAGGCGCATGTGAAGAGTGCCGTCAGAAAAAAGTTAGATGTAAGCTTACTCCCTATTGACCTGGGTACACGCTAAGAGACTCAGGTGACGGAGCGAATCCGTGTAACCACTGTCAAGTATGCAAGAGCCTTTGTTCTATCATGCGACTCGCGACTAACACCATGATAGCGGAACGAATCTCGATGCAAATATAATATACGTCACTCACGACGTCGTCTGCAAGAGAAAAGTACCCAGGGTCCTGACCACCATGTTGCCACAACGACACAACCGTACGCAGTAGATGGCAACGCGATGCCCGATTCATCAAATCAAGATCGTTCTGAGATTGTTACTGGTCAGGATATTGAAGGTTCAGCAAATCCTCTCAACACGCCATTTAGTGAAGAGTGTTTCTCGCAGTTGGTGTCTGACAGCGCGCACTCGTATCTGGATTTTGATTTCCCGGATGAAACAATACTGAGCACCAACCATATCCAAATCATAGGTACATGCTAGGGTCTCCTTCTTTTCTTCACTTCATTCTTGAGTAGACGCATCTATGGTTCTTTTGGTTTCGACAGTTTCTCAAAAGAACGAACAACTAACCAGACAATAAAATCAGATCAGCAAACAGACAGTTTTCACAACCAGATACCGCACTACATCTCCAGAAACAATACGCCTATGCTGGATTGGCTCATAACAGATCACGATGAACACCTGCATCAGCACAGCACCGCCCAGTTTTGTGACACTGTAGAAACCGAGCAAGAAGACGGTGTCACTGAACGTACTCTTACGCTCTTCTCAGAACGGACAGTAGCCGATAAGGTAGAGGTTAATAATCTCTTTCTCACCCTTGAATGTTTATCTCTGATCAGTACCACTGCAGAAAAAGCTGCTTTCGATCCACAAAACGTACAAAATCATTACTCTATTCCAAAACGCGGATGGAAGTAGCCGTAGAAGACATTCACTTTTAGACAAAGTCAAAGTGCTTCTTTCTCCGGAGCACCATACTTGTCTCTCTAAGCTCTTGCGCAAGATTGACTTTGGTAAAAAACATCAGAGTCTAGGCCTAAATGACCTCCCTATGGGAAAGCTCATTCGAAGTATGTCTAGGAACTTTACTGCAGAAAGCTTGCTAATGATTTACGAGGAGCATTCAAAGAGCCAGGAGGGTAAGTCAATTGAACAATGAGTAGATCATGTGAGCTTACGTGTGGGATAGGCTGAGTCTATTTATCAAGGAGCATGATGTCACGCGTATACAAAAACTTTTTTTCGACCCAAAAAAACCCCCTATAGAAGTTAGTGATATGTCACTCCTAATTATATCACTGACTTGGGGTGCCTTGTTGGAGCCAGAGGTAAGGTCGGGCTCTAAAGTAGCGCTACTAGATGCTATGCTAGAAACTTCAAGTCTGCTACTTCGCCAGAATAGTAGTATCCGTAAGCTTCTAGTAGGTTCTTCCGCGCAATGACGATAGAGATTTTCCTAACCCAAACTAGGCGCTTGTTGCTATGGTTCGTAGAATTATAATTATCAGCGACGAAGCGCTTGGCTAATCTACCCAGCTCTGTCTTGCCGAAAAAACGGGATCAGACAACCTACTTGCGCTTTTAACTGGCAGCATTTCCACTGCGGCCTCCTTAGCTCTTCATTTGGAACCCTCCCTACGCAATTTCTGCGCTAGCGACGAGCAAGTCATCCAGACTAAACGAGCTATGTTGCTACTCTACTGCATTGATAAGTCTTATGCATTAAGGTGGCAAACCTTCTCTGTACGCTCTACATACTTGCCATGGGTTAGTCGGATTAAGGCTAATGCGCGGAAAACAGCTACTCAGCGACGGTGCGCTCCCGACTACGAATCTATCGGACAACGTACTTGAGAGTGGCTTTGCAACAACACAATCCCTAGAGTGGTTACAGATCCGGTTTGAATACTCAAAGATTTGCGAAAACATCATGCAAATCAAAGTAGGCGCAGAGGCAAAGTCACCCGAAGATCGCTCCAACAGGGCTGTGACACTTTCCACGGCGCTGGAAGAATGGTATAGGTCAGCCAGCATTAGCCAGATGAGGCTCTCTCTAGATCACAACGATGCTATGCGAGTTAAGCTCCAGATATCTCACTATTACTACGAGGCTCGAGTTGAGTTACTAAGTATCAACTTACCGGATCCACAACCTTCTTATGTCACTGTGTCTCAGGAGTGTACACAACTACTTCGGCAATCAACGAGGGATATAATCACATGTTCTAGCACGATTCCATCTGAATTCCTACTTCAGGACTGGTATGTATTATGTAAATATGTCTCTCGTAACAAGCTTCCGCTAACTGCTTGCATAACAGCAACCATCTATATATTAACAAACTTGCTTTGTGTTTTCTTGCGCTGGACATTCTCTTAGAGGTGAATGGCAGTACTAGTAAGGGAAGCAGAGCTTTCCTCAGTATTGTTGCTGGCTTTTTTGCTAGGATGGGCGTCCTATTGCCACAAGCTTCTGTCTTCGAGGAAGTCTCTGATTTCATCGAGACTCTCATGTATCTTTGAATCTGCGATAACTAGTACAACAGAAAACAATTCTCGCTTGTTCAAGTCATCTTTGTTTATCAAACTTATCTATCCACTATTCTAGTTACATATAGCCTGTATGCCAACCAGCTTTTCGTCTCTTCGAATGACGCATTCATGTGTATAAAGGGGTAACGCATAAGCATCAGATCCCAATTTGTCAAAGATTTCCAACACCCGTTGCCAAAAAGCAACAAGGTAAACGTAATCCGACCCAAGGGCTGCTGTACTACCGGTTGGTAGTGCCATTTTTCCGATGGAGCGTCGGCTATCCACCAATTCTTTCCACCCAGCACGGCTCTTGGCGCAACGAACTGGTAGCTCCGTGGCTGAAACTGAATACAAATTAGCGAACAGGGGAACTCATGTTCCTCATTAAACCGCTAAACATGTGTTCTTAGCATATCGTACAGGTTTAAGGCCAGTAGAGCGTGGAACAGGAGCGCAATAGTGTCCAGAACGCCGAGTACAAGCTCGGATAGTTCCCGGAACGGTAGCGCAGCCGTAAAACAAATGTCATCTTAACCGGCCGATCTACTTTATAGAGAATAAGGCGTGCAGCCGGTAGTACGTAAAGCCTACTTATTAATAGGCTCTAGTACCTTCCTAAGTACACTAGGCCGTACTGCTCTTTTGTACGTTTTCAATTTAGCGAATAACGAGCTTCTTACGCTTTATATCTTTTGCTTCTAAGTCCTACGCAAATACCCTGCCAATTATCTAGGCTGATTTGATATACCTTTAGCTCCTCTCTCGCTTAAGCACTTAGCGACTTACCTATCAAGGCTAGGAGTAAATCCTTTTATCCTAGTAGATAAAAAGCAAACATAACATACTCTTATTCTATTTCTAAGCCGCGCCGTTCACACTCATGGACTCCCAACGCCAAGGGTCATCTAGCTGCCTTATCAAGAATAAAGAAGGGCTTGATCTAGACCAAGATTACACTAGCGATTCCGACGACTATAAATTGCCACTCTCCATGAGGCCTCCAACTCATAGGATCCGAAACTTCCTCTGGTACAGGCTCAACGTTATTATTTTTGGGCTCGTTACAATCGCGTTTCTTGCCACGTGGATGGCGATGATTGCCCTTACATGGAAAATAGTACTAGGAGATTCTCTAGGTTCTTACCCTCATATAACGAGCTTCTCGAGCATCTCTTCCGTCCCAACTTTTGATAGGAAGCACGGTACTCAAGACACTAACGAGGATGGTCGTACCCTTCAGTTATCGTCCTCGCTTTCGCCTAGCGACCACACGAACCATGATTCTAATGCAGGATCCGCAAGGCTGCATGTACCAGGCTTTAGACTCGCATATAATTCGTCCTATTGCAACGGCATCGAAGATCCCGAAGGTGCCCGAGCACGAGGGTGCATATTCGACCCTATCCAAACTGGTTGGATGCCAGGTCCCTGCGTCGACATGGAACTCACAAACGAGTTTATAGCCTCTCATGAGTGGAAATGGTTTAATGATGAAGCACTCACGAAGCCCAATACACAAGAGGCTGTGCTTCGAGGCTATGGAGGCGCTGATGCCTATACAATAGACGACTACCATTTCCGTCACTGCGAGTACACCCTAAAACAGCTGATTAAGAATCATGTCACCCAGGCGCCAGCTGTCGGTTTTAAGGGATTTCACAAAGAGCATCTTGAGCATTGTGTTGATCGGCTTATAAATTACAACACTCCGGAGATTCGGAACGCATGGACCGAGCATGTGGTATGGGCTGGTTCGGGCGGGTGTTATGAGCGAATCGTGCCATCAGCGTCATGATGTCCCATGTTAACATCATACATCCTTGATGAGATCTTAGATCCTGAATGTGCATTTCCAGTGAGGTAGAATGAATCCTGGTACCTATCAATTAACGCCAGTAATCTACTGTATGTGATTGCGCTCCGGCTGTGCCGATCGGATACCGGAAAGTGACCACAGTGCTCAATTGCGGCACACGCTATTCGCCATGGGGTTGGGCGTCTTTTCTCGTTTCTTTTTTGTCTAGGCGATAAATTAATTTTGCAGCCTACCTTTTCGCTCCAACATTACCTTTCAAGCATTCTTGCCAAGAGAGAACACCCCGGTTTCCTTTTCCTTGAGATATACCCACTATCCAGTGGACTTGTTAGTTATACGAACTCGGTATCTGCCTACCAGTCTGCCTATCTTTGAAGAGTGTGTACAGATCATATCTCCGCCGCTGTACCGCCTCTGATGGCGACGCTTGCGATATGAATTCTCGAAAGAACACCAGTAGAGCACTCAGCATGTCTTTCATCTTCCTTTAACCTAGGGAAGATTTTAATAATCTGCTACAAAATTGTCAGTGCATACCTTTCCTTTCTGTGCTGTTTCAATACGGTCCTTACAAGGTCATGTCGCTAGTTCTTGAGACAAATACAAAATAGAAGTCTTTGCAAACATATTCCGCTAATAGTAATATTGATGTGGTGCTAGAAGACGCGGCGCGGTATAGGATCGCTTCTATTTCGATATTCTTATCGATAAAAGATAGATAGATAGTTAACAGAGTACCTAATAGTGCACTATAGGCGCTTAAGGCAGCGATTTAAAGGCTTGTAGGTTTAATTGCGATGCAGGAGCTTGTATACGAACAGAATATAAGCTCCGTCGTATAGCTTATGGTTATAGATATGATTTTTTTCCTTAGTGCTGTATCTGCCTGCATAATTTAGTATATATAACGAACCTTCACGTAACCTCAACAACCTTCTTTCCTACGCGACAAACGACCTAGTTCTCACTCTTGCACTCCTCAAGCTCCCGAGCCACGATACATACGACCTTACGGAATAAAAATAGAGAATGACAGAATATAAAAAGAATGATGCTGCGCGTCTTAGAGGGTTGTAATCCTAGGCCCGCATCGCATAGTTAGAACACAGTTATAACTATCCGACTGTCCTATTAAATGCACAAACTCACACATACAATATCCCTATGCAAACGTCTAAAACGACTTGCTGTTACACGGGGTTTAGTACTAATACTTCTCTAAGCTCGATCTAGGTTAGGGCGAGTAAGATGGTGTAAAGACGCTATAAAGTATTTGTCTAGCGATACAGTAGAGTGGGCGTGCTTAGATAGAAAGTAACAATAGGTTGACAATTCCTAATCTATATCGAATAGACTAACAAGTATCAATCTTGTGAAGTTAAGTAA